AGCACCCCCAGCAGGAAGAACGAAAAATGAAAACACCGGGCGACGTCCTTTTGCAGCCTGGGAACTTTTGGGGAACCCGGAAGGCGTGCGCTCCGACCCTGCTCCCGCAGCTCTTCTCGCGTCCTGGACCCTGTCTGAGACTGGGAGAAAGGGAGCGCGTCCCCGAGGAGGATTTCAGCGTGTCAGGGATTCCTGGTCCAATATCCCGAGAACTTTTGTTCCGCCCTCACTCTGATTCGCCGCCCACACCCCTGCAGCTCTCTGGGCTCCTGACCCCGAGCTGACTCCAGGTTGAGCGCCGTGGCGGGGTGATTCGTAGTTGCAGAACGGCTGCGCGGGAGGCGAGAACCCTGCACATTTGGGGTTGAGGATATGCGGTTTTGTTGGTAAAGAAGAGAGCATGAAGTTGAGCAGATAGGATCACGTGCACCAAATCCCCGATAAATTCCCTAACGGTTCCAAAGCACCTCTTTTGGCCACGGGATGGCAGGAGGGCCCAGCAGGCCCAGGCGCAGCCGCTGTCTATTGCTGCCTGCGAAGAGCCCGCCACTGAGTTGCAGCAGGAGCATGTCGAACCCAGAGTCTCTGACACCACGGCGGCCTCCCCTAGTTTCTACCCTCCCCCTCGCCTTCTACAGGGTTGTCCCCATCGCTGCCTGCCGGCGCCTTGCAGTCAAGGGCCGCCTGTTTGCCGATCCAGAGCGCTGTCACCTCCCGGAGCAGCAGCAGATCCCGGGGGCGGCAGATATGTTCCCCGAGGCCTGCTCCCGGGGCGCGCGCTGCTGGGCTTGGGAGAGGGGGAGGAGAGGGAGAGTGGGGGAGCGACCCCGAATCACACCGGCTTAGCGTGGGAAGATTCCCTCCTCGGTGGCCGTGTGGGCGCGGTGAATCCCGCGTCCCCCGCTGGGGAGTCGGGTTGGGAGAACGTGTATTTTTCAGGGGGAGTGGGAGTGTTGACAAGGAGGAAGAGAGGATCCCCAGGCCTCACGCCGTGGGAGGGCCACGCGGGCCGGGGAGGCGTGGGAGGAACTCCCGAGCTGCACATCGCGGTGGGGGTGGATGACAACCTCACTCTCCTTCCCTCCACTTCACTCGGCGTTGAACTGGGGGTGGGAGGGCCCGGTCTCCCCCGGATCTTCTCTGGTTCTCAGCAAATGAGGGATTCCCGCCGCCCGCGAGCCCCTGCTTCCCCGCCCCTGCAGCTGCTTCTGCCTGGCTCCCCACACCTATACGGAGGAGGCACTGCGCCCCCGGGCTCTTCTCCGCCCGCGCGGCGCGGCGCGGGGAGCGAGAGAGCTCTGCAGCGGTCCCAGCTCCGGCCGGAATCAGGGCGTGCAGCGCCTCCCGCCCCCGGCTACCTCCCTGGGGGGGCGAGCGGCCGGCCCAGGGGCGTGGGCGGCAGTGTGAGCCCGGCTGGGCGCGGGAGGGGCCCTGGCGGCTGCAGGGAGGGTCGCGGGGCTGCGGGCCAAGCCGGGAAGAGCCATACAAGGAGCGGATCCGGTGACGCGCCGGCCGCGCCCCTTCTCCTTCTCGATTTGGCTGCAGATTCCGGTCCCCAGATTTGCATATTTTGGCATCCAGTGGAAAAGGAAATAAGAACGGAACCCACAGCCTTTAAAGGAACCGCACAGGCTGCAGCGTCACCTAGGAAGGCGGTCTGGGGGGCGTGAAATATTAGCCAGCGGCTCTGGCCTCCGGCCCTTGAACATGGCAATAGCGGAGAGGCGGGGAGAGGCGGTGACCAGCTAGGTTCGGCCGCTCCAGTCTCAGTTCTGCCCACTCTGCGTCGCCTCCTGCTGCGCGTGCATCGGAGGCGGCGAGGGTCTCCGCAGATGCTTGACCAGGGCCGGGAGACGCCATGAGGTCCGCCGCCTTGGGCGAGCCGCAGGCCCAATATTGACTGCAGTGCCCATGTTTCCCCGCGCGAGGCACACAGCTCAGCCTGCGGGGGTGGCGGGAAGGAAGTAAGAGACTTCCAGGCCGTCCAGTTCAACTCCGGAGGACTCGACCGCGATGCACCCCCGTCCCCACCTGTTGAGACCTCTCCCCAGGAGAAGAGGAGAGTGAGGAGCTAGAACTCCCAGTTTTGTTCGGTAGGGGCCCTCGTTAGGAAAGGCAGAGGCAGTGGGAGCGTTTGGGATCCTTGAGAGCTTCCAGGGCCCGAGAGATGGTGGAGGAGTGTAGCCACTCCGGAAATGCTCCCCAAACACTTTTAGGCTAGCTGGACTTGTTGCACTTGACGGGAAGCCCAAGGAGGGTTTGCCATCTTGTGCCACTGCCTGCTTACAGGTTGGTGAGACTGGATAGGAGTTTTTTTGAAGGACAAATGCCTTCCCCCTCCTTCCTACTAGTTCTTGACATAAAATGGGAGCCTTCAATTCAATTAAATGAGTATTCATTAAAACTTCAATATGAACTGGGACAAATTTCTTTCTTAGCTGTAGTTTCCTTGTCTGTAAATTGGGCTAATAATAGTACCTGTCCCTTAAGAATTAACTTAGATAATTCCCATCGAGTACTTATGGTAGACCCCTAGCAAGCCCTCAATGAAAGGCAATTATTACTGTTAAACTGTATTCTCCCCCCACCCTACCATGTAACAGAAAAGCTCCTCCCCCTTGTGTGTTCTCAGGAGTGAGTAGAAGCGATACAGGGAGTAAAAAGGGCCAGGTATGGAACTCCATCCCATATCAGTGTGATCATATACTAGAAATATTAATGTTTATTATTTAGGAGGGAAGTCCAACTTGGCACTGCACCAATGTAGAGATGATTGAGAAATGGTCTTCACTTTGCAAGAGCCCAGGCAAGGACTGAACCCTCAATAGCTGGTGGTGACATAAGGCAGGGTACAAAGGAGCATCCTTCTAGGCTTTTTTGGAGGGTAGCTGTGGTTTTTGGGGTGGGGCAGGGGATTCCGGTGCCCCTTCCTTCCGTCCTCTGCCATGGAAGGAGCCATGCTGGGGAAAGCCTGCCTCTGCAAGCATAGGTCCTCACTGCCTGGCTCTGTTCAGGTTGCAGCAGCCCACCCAGATGCCCCCTGTCACCCTGGATGATGGTGGCAGATGGGGGCCAGTGTTCTGTGGCAGGAGGGGACAACCCTGGGTATGGAGTGGCGGTGGGGTGTTTGAAGTAGTTGCTTGTAGACTAATAGCATTCTCCCTTCTTGTTGTGTAGCCTTGAATTCAGCATAGAAAAAAATGTGTCTCTCCTTCCCTCCCTCCTTTCCTCTCTCCTTCCTGTACAGGGACTGAGGGTGATTGTCTGTTTTATTGGCCGGCTCAGGTGAGATTGCCAAGGGCCTAATTACTTAAACTCCAAGCTCCCGGACTTGTTGGGGGTTGAGTAGGTACTGGTTCAGGGTGTCCTCACCCTGGAGATGGTGAAGGAGAGGCCCAGCAACTCTGTAGCAGAGCCTAGGCCACCCAGCCCCCCGCTGCTCTCCCCCTTGAGTCCAGCTGTACTTATGGGCACTGACTGCTTGTGGGGGCAGTGGGTGTGTTTGTCTTGGTAAAAGGATAAAGGAAGGAGATGTGGCCCTAGACATCTACCACAGGAAAAGGCCAGCTTGTTGCTGTCTTGCTCCTTAATTCTGCACTCATCTCTGCCTTTAGCTCCCCTTTTAGCTGAAGATGTCCAGGCCTTCTCTGCTGTCTCACAGGAAAGAAACCCCTAATTAATTCAGGGGTATTAGTGATGTAATGCATTGCCCTTCTCAGAGGCATTTTAAAAGAAAATGCTTAGAGAGGGTAATATGTAACTCAAAGGAATTAAACCCAATGCTTAGCATGATGTCTGGAAAATAGTAGGGGATCATAAATGCTGGTGCAGTGACGTCTGATTGTGGGACATCAGGCCCAGTGACAAAGAATGAGAGATTTGGGGCACAGGGAGTGTCTGGGGTTCCTCAAATCACACCAGGCACCTGGTGGGATTGCTCCTGAATGACAGTTCTCTCAAGGGTCTTCAGTTGCTTTTCATTTTTGGGGTGCTTTACAGGAGATGGGGCAGTCATCAGTGGAATCTCCTTGGCCAGCCCTCCCTTGGGCTCTAGAGGTCACTGCCATTTTTTTTTTTTGAATGGCAGGTAGCTCTGAGGCTAGGTGGGTTTTGCATAGAAGCTTGTGGAAAAGACATATTGTTGTCAGCCATGATGA